TTTTTTTTTGATATGCAATCATGCAGTGTATAGTAGAAAGGAAGTTGGGAAACTGGAATAGTGTATAAATATTAGGTAGCTTTGATTTCAAGTCATGTCCATCACTAACTAGCTCTGATTCAATTTTGGAGCATTATTTTACTTATGTTAATAACCACCTAGGTATTAAATAGTAACTAATAACAATATGGTTGAGTGAATAACTGAGAAAATACATGTAAAATACTTAGCTAATGCCCAGAACATTGTAAATCTCTTAGCTATTGCTACAAAGAGAGTCATTGTTCAGGCTAAGTAGACATGAGGTCATAGTAGGCATAGATGCTAGAATGATCATAATATGTGCATGGTGTTGTGCCCAGGTTTCAAGATCCCCCAAAGGACACCACCAGGGAGTGCCGAGTCCGATGCAAAAGCATAGAGCCTTTATTCAAGCTAGCTTGGTCCCTCTCTGCCTCCATTACTGGACGTGAGAGAGCCCAGAGTCTTGGAAGAACAAAGATTTTATAGGGCTTGGGGTCGGGGGGTGAGGGCTCGCTCGGACCAATGATTTGGCCGATTCTGGTTGGTTGAGTGAGGGCCGGGGGCTAATGACGCAAGGGCAGGGTGCAGTTAGGGTCTGGTTACACAAAGACATGGGGGTGTTCAGCATGCTTTTGGCCTTGAGTTTGTTTTCCCTTGCATTCCCATTGGCTGAGATAAAAGCTTATTTCAAAGAGATTTGGGGTTCTGGCTTTTATATAATTGAATGAATTATAAATTGACACTAGGAAATGCACATAGTTTTTATTTTTTTAATATATTTTATTGATTTTCTACAGAGAGGAAGGGAAAGGGATAGAGAGTTAGAAACATCGATGAGAGAGAAACATCGATCAGTTGCCTCCTGCACACCCCAAACTGGGGATGTGCCTGCAACCAAGGTACATGCCCTTGACCGGAATCGAACCTGGGACCCTTCAGTCTGCAGGCCGACGCTCTATCCACTGAGCCAAACCCGTTAGGGCCCAAAGGTTTCCTTAAAGTTAAAGTAAGCCATAGGCATGAGTCCTTAGGAGATGAGCAGGGCTTTGAGGACAGGACATTGTAGACATCCCTCATTCATGGGGTCGCCAGGAGTGGAGCCAACTCCACAGCATGTCACACAGTTGACTTTGTCATCATAATAATTATTTGAAGTTTATATGGTACTGTATGGCTGCTAAAATTATTACTGTTTAAAATAAGGCACTGAATTTTGTTAAGCATACAGAATTACGTTGTTTCAAATATGGCATTGAAGTATTAGATACCATCACTGTTCTGGTGAAGTTATAATTAATAACATGTCCTGGAGGAAGGACTCCATGGGACAGACTTCCTCTTTATTTTTTAGGAATCACCCTTGAGTTGCTCTGTTATTTTAAACTAGAGGCCCGATGCATGAAATTCGTGCAAGAGTAGGCCTTCCTTCCCCTGACTCCTGGCACCAGCTTCCCTCTGGCACCTGGGACCCGGGCTTCCCTCACAACACAGGCTTCATCCAGAAGGTCGTTTGGTCTAATTAACGTATTACGCTTTTATTATTATAGGTAAATCTACTCAGAAAAAACATGTGAAGTTTAGTTTGGCCGATAAGCACATAGTATTCTTCAAAGGAAAGAGGGTATATATTTATAACTAATACAAAGTACATTTTTCATAACTTTATAATTTTATTACTGGTTATACTAGTTTTTAATTTTGTTAACATACCTGATGCCATATATTTTCAATTCTTTTAGAAGTTACCTGTATTCTTCATCTTAAAAAATGATGCCCAGAGCGTAAAAGTGCAAAATGTGGAAAATAAAACTTTATTATAGAGACGCACACATAGTGGTAAACAAACAAAAGCAAGGAAGTGACCATCACAAAAGCCAGACGTGGTGTCACTACTCTAGGGAAGGCGGAAGCTGGGCTGGCAAGGGGCACGTGGGGAAGTGTCCAGGAGGCTGATGGCGTTCTGTTTCCTGACCTGTCGGGTTCATAAGTGGTTACTTTATATTATCATTAAACTGGACATTCGTGCCTTATGCACTTTTCTAGGTATGTTTTATTTCAGTTTTAAAATCACCCAAATAGTAATCTATCATCTCTATCTTTCTAAATTATATAGTTCTCAGATACGAATTTTATTAAGGATTATGCCAGTTCGACACATAAAAATTATGAATCATTAATTCTCTTGAAATTTTCATTGCGTCCTTCCTTCTGCAGATGGGGTTGCTTGATCTGGAGTGGACTTTCAAGATCATTTAGAGAAATCCCCCAGTTGTAGAGTTAAGGAAATTGGGGCACATCAACGAGACATTGAGTAGAGTGGAGATATGCATATGTTAAAATCAAAGTATGTAATTTTGAAGCTTAGGAAAGTGAGAAATAGGAATTAATAATTTACGCAGATTTTAATAAGACATTTTAATTTTTAATTGTGGGACTTGATTTTTAATGACAAATTAAATATAATTTTAAATTTGTTTTTGTAGGATGGCAGGAAATGGAACCATTGCTTTCTCTGCAAAAAGTGTGTAAAGCCTTGTAAGTATTTAGACTTAGTGTTTGAAATCCTGTGAAAACAGTTGAGTTTTTCTTCATCTAGATAGGATTTGTATGTAACTGCATTTATAAAAGAAAAAATCACTATAGAGACCTGTATTAATTTACTTGCTTTTTAATTTTTATAATTACCAAAGTGTATGTTCTCTACTTCATAGAAAGCCATAACTACTAACCTCTTTCTGTGTGCCATTGGATTTGGCTTGTTTTAATAGGGCTTTGTGTCACGCAGCCAGCCCCCGTGTGTCAGTGGCCCTAAGATCACATGGCTCGCTAGAGAAGGACTAAATTCGTTGCTATGTCTCAGACAGAAGTTAGCTGATTTACAAGGAATTCCAGCCTCTTAACTTTGGGCTCTTTAGTGAAATTATAACCAGCTATGCAAACCTGTGACAGTAATTGAAGTAAACATTATTCATGCTTCCCTATCATAAAGGTTAATCAAATGAAAAATTACCTTAAATGAACCTCTTCTAAAACTCAATTTTTATTTTACAGCCTGGATCCACTGTAGCATTTGCAATCACTGTGCTCTTCCCGGTCATTCTTGCGAGGGCCCTAGAGACGGCTGCTTCATTTGCGGTGAATTAGATCACAAACGTAGTACTTGTCCTAACATCTCTGCAGCTACAAGAGTTAGCAAGTTAGTTGAATTCTTTTGTTTACTAGAAGAAAAATTTCATTGTGTGACTTATACCGAGTAATCCACAAAAGTGTGCAATAATTGGAAGATTCAAAAGTGCTAAAGTAATTGTTGTATTGTTTGCATGGATTGGGGAAGGAGGATATGAAGATGAGTCCAAGAGCTTAGAAATTTATAGGTAAGATATGAAAATAACCAGAATATAAGGTAGAAAGTGACTAACTTTATATCTCCTGTGGTTAGTGTGAAATTATAATTTGTGGGGCAAGAGTTCAGGCTTTATTGAAGGATCTGCTGTTTAAGTCAGGACAGATTGGCTGTAGACACATGGTAGTGGGTAAGGCTGGAGCAGAATCTCAGATGCAGTGAAATGTATGATTCCACAGTGGACACACTGGAAGATGAAGTTATTTCTTTAAAGTAGATGAGACTTCAAAAAAAATATTTAGACATATTTTATATTTAAATATTTAAAGTTTAATTTTTACCTTTTTTCTGTTAATAATTTCCCTTCTCTCACCAATATTTGGTGTTGGTTATAACGCAGAGCAAAGTCATACCAATGACAATGGTATACTTAGAAAAACTATTGCTATTTCAACTGGGCTAACTTGAATGATTATACTTTTTTTTAAACTAAAAGGGATGATAGGTATTGAGTCCTCTTGTTTTATTGATATGAAGATCAGATAGCCACGTTTAACATTACACAAAAATTGAGATCAGGATCAAAGTTTGAGCTATCAGATGACTTGTAATTAAAAAAAAATCTATTGCCCTGGCTGTGTAGCTCAGTTTGTTAAAGCATCATCCCATATACCAAAAGACTGCAGATTCAATTTCCAGTGAGGGCACATACCTAGGTTGCAGGTTCCATCCCCATTCGGGGCACGTGCAGGAGGCAACTGATCGATGTTTCTCTCTCACATCAATGTTTCCCTCTCTCTATTCCTTCCTCTCTCTCTAAAATCAATAAAAATAGCCCAGCTGGCGTTGCTCAATGGTTGCGTGTCTACCTATGAACCAGGAAGTCATGATTCAGTTCCTGGTCAGGGCACATGCCTGGGTTATGGGCTGGATCCCATGTGGGGCGTGCAGGAGGCAGCCAATCAATGATTCTCTCTCATCAATGATGTTTCTAACTCTCCCTCTCCCTTCCTCTCTGAAATCAATAAAAATATATTGTAAAAAATAATAATAAAATAAAATCAATAAAATCATGTCCTTGAGCAAGGATTAAAAAAAGAAAAAAGTTATCAATTAGTAATAGAAGTATCCAGTTCTTTGGTACCTATGATTATACTAGTGGCCCGGTACACGGATTCATGCACATTGAAAGGAAATTAATTAGAAGAAATATTTTAATATCACTCTTTGCCCTTTCTCTATAATAGAAGTGTCAACCAAATGCACGATCGACAATGACAGATCGGAACACATGCGTGTGATTGGCACCAGCGAGAGCTTTACATGTATTGCGCATGCACGAGTCAACTTAGCCTTTTAAATAAATAGAATAAACTTGCTTAATTAGACCTGCGTTCTGATTTAGCTAAACTTTTTCCAGCCCAATGAAGCACCCCAACTTCTCTTTCAGGTAATTGTCAGCAACAAGCAGTAAATATCAACACAAAGCAGATTATTGTAGATAACACAGGGAGAACAAAGGGTAAAATATTTAACTGCAGCAGTGTTTGACTATATTCTACGCAGTGAGAAAACCTGATGTCATTTTCAAGGTCCACCATTTCTTCTTTTCAGTCGGGTCAAGTTTCTAAGCTTTCTAAATCTTGGTTTTCTGGCTAACGAAAAGAAAATAGGATTCTATTGAGTCTCCTATCTACCTACTTCAGGACTTCAGTGAGGATCAAATGAGATGAGGCACGGGAAAAGGCTTCACAGACATTTGGTTAAAGTATAAAATGTTTGCTCCTGGCTATAAAGCAAGTTGTGTACCTGGGCTGAAGAAACTGCAAGGAGGCTAGTCTCTAGGAAGAGGAAGCCAGGCGTTGCTACGTGAGGTCATTACCTGGCGCTCACAGCCACCATTTCCTGGCTGGGCTGGGTTGTGGGCCGAATTTTGCGCCATGGGGTCTCGGCAGCATCGGCTGCGATTTGGTAGGGTGTCACTCTGGTGTGCTGGCAGGGCCTGTGTCCCACTTGGGGGAAGCTGAGTGTTGCTTTGTTGAGGCCAGGTCCATGGTGCCATTTCTTTGTAAATGGCCAGTGTGCATCACGGCAGCTCCTGTGTTGAGCGTCTGCCCCCTGGTGGTCAGTGCACGTCATAGCGACTGGTTGGATGGTCGGAAGGACACAGCATATTAGCCTTTTTTATATATAGATTAGAGTTTTATTTATTGATTTGTCATTGGAAATTATTTTGTTCCATTACTTTCCAGCCATTTGAATTCTGCCTACTATTTAAACTGCCTTTTTTATCTTTACCAAATTTACTTTAAATAATCATTTCCACTAAGTGGATATGCTTTTCATTGATTCTAGAGAGAGGAGGAGAGAGGGAGAGGCAAAAATATCTATTGGTTGGCTCCCGTACGTGCCCCAACTGTGATTAAACTGCAATCTGGGTTTGTGACCTGACTCCAAATCAAATCCTCAACTTTCGGTACATGGGACAATGCTCCAACCGAGTCACACTGGCCAGGGCTGTGGTATTTTTTAAATTAGTTAAATAGGTGTACTGAAGAATTTTACAAAATATTTTTTCTTAGGAACCTTACAAAATAGAATACAACCTAATGAACTATTGGTCTGGGATTGTTGCACTATTTACAGTGTAATTCTGGTTACAAACAGGAGTTAGTAACATGCTCAGCCTTTGATTCTGTGATCTTAGGATCCATGGAAACTGAATTTGCATTTTGGTACTATATTGCAGGCTCTTCATTGGTTCTAAAATAGCCCTGGCTAGTCTATTTGGTAGTAATACATTGTTTCCATTGAGAGAAACCATCTTGTATCTTCTAGTATTGCATTTTATCAAGTTTAATTCAAAGAGAAAATCCCTTAGGATGTAGTACTTTTCTCAGAGAAAACTGCTAACTGAACTCTTGTTAACAGTTATCTTAAGGTATTGCTTTAAAAAATTTTTATAATGAAATTGAAAATGCAAACCTTTTTTTGCAATAGAAAAAATAATTTTAATAGCCTTTTTAGCATAAATGGCATAAAATATCTTTTCATCTTACATATTTTATAGCTGCTCAAATTAATTGGCTTTCCCTTAGTACTAATTTTCCTTTGGTTGTGAATTAGAATGATGCTGGCTCCCTCTTGTGGTTAAAGCTCGCTTTATCAGTTATATAAATACCTATAATTTAGAGGACAAATACTAGGTCAATTTAATTTTAAGGAAAAATAAGATAATTAATTGATTTATGCTTAATCACTTCATCACTGTTGAAAAAAATTATCTCTGGAAAGTTTTATTTATTCTTATTACAAGTGAATGTTTTCTTTCTGTTCTTGTGTACTGTATTCTCTAGTGAAATCTGGTTCTTCTTATAGGAGGATCAGCCAAAGAAAATTTGTTTAAATTTTACATACAGGCATGCATAGCTTCATTGACTTTGCCATTAAGAGGTTATACTTCATTAAATTTGCAAAATCATCACTTATCAGGACATCATCCTACTTTTTAAAAAATGGCTGGAGGGAAAGGAGATTTATATAACATGCACAAAACAGTAAAAAAAAATGATTGTTTTATTTGCTTTATAATCTGGTAGGATACCCCAGTCCATAGTGCAAAATCTATAAATATGGAAAAACTTAGTTGTCAAGCAAAATTCCAAGAATAATAGTCATGGAGCTAGTGATAATAGCTAATATTTATTTAGTGATTACTATATGCTTAGCCTTTTGCACACCTAAATAATTTATAGTAGAGTATGCTGTGTTAAGGTAATTAAGAGCACAGGTTCTAGAATCAAGCTCATTCTGCCACTTCCTCACTGGATGATTTCATAGCCCAGGGGTGGGCAAACTTTTTGACTCGAGGGCCACAATGGGTTCTTAAACTGGACCGGAGGGCCGGAACAAAAGCATGGATGGAGTGTTTGTGTGAACTAATATAAATTCAAAGTAAACATCATTACATAAAAGGGTACGGTCTTTTTTTTTTTAGTTTTATTCATTTCAAACTGGCCAGATCTGGCCCGCGGGCCGTAGTTTGCCCACGGCTGTCATAGCCTCAATTTCTCCCCCTAAAAAGTTGGGAAAGAAAGGGAAGGGTGATGTCTGCTTTGTCTCATTCTCTCAGCTTCTTTAAGTCAAAGATTATGCCCACTCATTTTTGTATTCCTAACACTTCGCATATATGCTGAATGAACAAAAAGTGAGGCCTGAATTTGGTTCATTGGGGAATTATATATAGTTCATGAAGTTTCTTTCGTGGGTTTTGGTCCTGGGAAGATCAAGAATAAGCTTCTCCCTGGGGTTTGTTGTAGTTTAGGAGGGTGAATCTAACAGTTGATGTTGCTGCGTAGCCATGGGAAGGTTCCAGTCTGCCAGGGCTGGCAGCCCCAGCTCCTCCGTGGTTCGTGATATGATTAATGGCATGATTCTGCTAGCTTGGAAAAAGAGAACGAACAGAGGCAATCTTTCTCAGCTATAGATTGCCTGTAAGTTAGTTCAGAGAGTACCAGAAACAAAGGATCTGTTTTTTTCTGGTGTGGTTTAGTGTTTTTAGAGGGTGAGTTCCAACTTGTTCATTTTGAAGCTAGTCTTTGAGAAGACGGAGACCGCAAATGTGGACATCCTGTATGGCACTTTTCAGGACTTTTAGATACCTACCAAGGCAAGGATATTAGCCGTAGGACTTAAAGATGAGCCTCTGTAAGTGTTGTCAGTTTTTTCTGTTGTGCTATTTCATTTTTTCACCTCTGCTAACTGCCAGAATTTATCTGTCCTTTTTCTGAAAAATGTAATTCAGGGATTTGGAGATTGAAGTGCTGAGTTGAGCAGTACAGATGTAAAAACATATATAAAAATGAAAAAGAAACCCCAGCCAAAAAAACTCCCAACTCATTGGCTTAACTATTTACCTTTGTTGTGTGTTTGTCCTGAATAGATTGTTCTAAATCTGTAGTAACCATCTTTCAAGGAAATTTTTTCAAATAGTTTGCTTGGTCAGGCCTCTGTCTCATTATTATGGTGTAGGATTCTGAGGATTTATGCTTATAATACAGTAAGTTCTTTCCCGTCTGTTTTCTTATTTGGTTAGCTAGTTAATTAAACTTCAATCTAATTATTCACTGTGCTCATTCCACAAAATAATTTAGCACCTTGTTTTTCAGAGCTGTCAGAAAGCAGAAGCAGAGAAAAAGTAATAAGATGAAAATGGAGACCACTAAAGGACAAGCAATGAATCATACATCTGTTACAAGGAAGAAGAAAAGGAGAGAAAGAGCCCATCAATATCTTTGCTCTTAAATGTCCAGTGACTTGAGAATAAGAAAGATTTATAGTCCAACCTTTGATGCCATTTTCTGAAAGTGCCATGCTGGACTTAAATTCTGTCACTTTCAAAGGTGTGCACCGTTCTAAGCGAGGTAATAGGCAGGTGGTATTTGCTGGTTATAGACCCGCAGCAGTGTCTCTGGAGACCTGGTAAGTTGTTCCATCCTTAGCTGGTTTACCAGCTCTGTCTCTCGGTGTCTTTTTTCTCGCTTTAACTCCCTTCCAATCATATTATTTTAGCCTCTTTTATCTGAAAAGTATGTGTACAGCATTCTTTTGCAGAATCAGAAGAAAATGAAAATCTGAGGTTTTGTTTACTACATTACATAAGAATATGTTAAGATAAATGTTTTAAATTAATGTTAACATATTGTACAATGACTTAAACCCCACTTGTAAAGAGAAGTACAATTTTTTTCAGACAGAATCTGAAAATGATGGAAAGAATTTTGACAAAGGAAGTCTAAAGATATAAAGATTATAATTATGGTTACATTATTATTAAATATTTATTTTTAAGTACTTTTTGCAATTGTCCTTTGATGGAATAGAAGCACCTAAATGTTTGTTGAATGAATGAGGTATTTAGAATTAGGACTTGCTCCATCATCTCGTCTTTTAACCTAAGCAGTAAGTTTCTCTCTTTATATAAGGAGTGCAGAAGGCAGAATAGTTTGGTGATTCAATCTCCTTATTCCTTTTTTGACTAACACTTCCTGGCATTATGTCCTTGGCCAGGTTATTCACTATTTATTTTTATTTATATATTTACATATTTATTTCCCTTCAAGATAGATATTATTAATATCCACTTTTTACAGTTGAGGACATTGATTCTTGGGTATCTAAAGTAATAGTCTCATACTTTGGAAAGTTGGTAAAAGTGGTTGACTTCAGACATAAACATGAGAATCTACCTCCCAGAGATTTTGCAGTTTACATTCACAGTGATGTAAAGAAATTAGATGAAAAATAGGACTGATCCTTAACAATAAAAAGAGACACAGTTACTAGGTCTTGGGAGAAATTTGAGACAAACTTCTAGGAAGTCTTGCATGAGTGGATAGGCTGACACTCTATCCACTGAGCCAAGCTGGCTAGGGCTATTTATGCTTTTTTTGAGGTGCTTAGCTCATGCCTTGTATTAGAACACTTTGTGTACTTGTTTCCCTTGTAGTTTTAGCTCATGGGTGACAGGGGCCTGTGGGCATCACTTGTACTGTGCATATGGCGATGTCAGACACAGCTGACTGTGGCATGTGTGATCTCTTTATTCCTCCCTAGAACCTTGGGAAGCATACGGCCAGGCTAACACATTCTTCACCCTTCAACTGGTAGCTGCTCATAAATACATATTGAGTGACTAGGAATGCCATTTAATATGCTGCTTTATGCCTCAGAACCCTAACTGCTACACGAGTAAGAAGCTAATATGCTCAGAGCTGCATAGGTAAGGAACGCTTGCACAAAATGCAAAGGAAAATCCAATTTCACTGATTTGGTACAGTTTTAATTAGAACATTGGGGCATGGGTTAAATTACTTGAGGGTCAACTAAGAAGGGCATTGCAATCAATAAAGTGAAGATAAGATCTCTACTATTTGATTTCAGGCGATTCAGTATAAATGTTAACTCAGCAAAACTGAGGGAAAGTAAGCAAGCAGATCTCAGAGCTCTGAGAGGTGAGTTTTATCCCATTAGTGGGACAGTTGATATTTTCATACTGTTTAGTTGCTGCAAAGCCCTGCAGACTGGAAGTGTAGCATCTGGTGGTCTCAGCCTGAATAGATAGGCCAGCTTCTTCATTTGCAAATTGGAGGTGAGGAGTGACAGAAAGCTAGAATAGCAGCCTAAGCATTCCACATGCTTAGAGGGCAAAGGAAACAAAGGTTCCTGCCTGTTAACGTTGCAATAGATGGGCCAGGTAAATCTAAGAAAATGCAAAGCAACTCTCATCCTCCCACCCAGAAATCAGCACTGTCACAGCTTCTGCGTATGTTCTTCCAGGGATAGACTCTTGTATAAGTAGTTATACAGACAGGTGCTCTAAAATTTCTCCCACAACAATGAAATTGTAAATGCATATTATTGTGTGATACTCTTTTTTCATAAACATGTTGTTCTTTAATATGTATTGTATTTAAAAAAAAAAAAACAACCCCACAGTCTCCTATGATTGGACATCTACGTTGTTTGCATTTTTTCACTACTGTAAATGACCCTATGATGCACATACTTATAAGTCTTATTATCTTAGGGTAAATTCCTATATATACAAATACTGGTTCTATAGCTCTTATTAGAACTTATTTTTACAGGTGGGAGTCATATGAGTAGGTCTCTGAATTTCTTTTCCAGAACAGCAACTGAAAGGGTTGTGGGAGACAAGCAGAATATCATGAATTGATACCATTTAGACTCCCTGTGCCAGGATGGAACATTTCCCAAATGCACTTCATACTTAAAGCTACTCTTTGAGTAGTTCTGTCATATTAAACATTGTTGACTGGTTGTTACGGCAGCATCTTCCACCCTCCCCATTGTATGCCTGTCATGGGATTTGGGGGAAGGATGACTGACATCCTTTCCAGCTCTTGGGAAGGGCTTTTTATTGGGCATAATTCCATCCTCCTTACTTGTGATTGATTCCCGCTAAGCTCGTGATAGGGGTTGGTCTAATCACTAGGCCCAGGACTTTAATCTTGTGATTGGTGAAGAGGTGTTTGTTCTCCCTCTGAATGAAGAAGCATGTAGCTCCAGGTGCTGTTAGCAGTCTTCCAGGGACCACAGGGGGAACCAGCCTTATGGCACACACCCTCAGCTGGGTCCCTGGTGTATGAACTGCTGGATCTAGCCTGGCCTGAAGCCGGTTGGCCCTATTGCTGGACTTGCTATTTATTTGTACCAATACATTCTCATTATTACTTGTGCCACTTTGAGTCAGGGTTTTTTTTTTTTTTTTTTTTTATTGCCTAATGAATGAAACCGTAGTAGGACAGAGAGATTCTAACACTAACCTACATTTATTTCTCTTTCCAGCAAGTTTTGTCAATTTGCTTATTTTACGACTTCAAAATAGACCTCTCAAAGTAACAGCTTTCACATGGCCTACATTAGTCCCACCCCACACAATTCCATCTTCCATCCCTATGCTCAGTGATTCCCACATCTTGCTCAGGCCTTGACCTTTCCCCTTCCAACCTGCCTTTCCAGCTGCCATTGGCCACTACAGACTTTCACACCACGCCTCCACCTGTTGTAGTCTTCACTGAACTCTTTTGCTCTGGTCCACTTTCTCCTCCTTCCCCTCATACCCGCACCCCTAACCCAACAACGACCAGTTTCTGTTCCCTGAATCTGTGCACCCAAATATCCCAACCTGTCTTGACTTTCATTCCCCCAATCTAATCAATAATCAGTGCTTGTTCTTCTACCTCAGAAATGTCTCTGGGATCTCCTCCCCACACCCAGCTTATGTTCCTGCCACCTTTTCACCTCTCTGTAATGCAGCATGACCCTTGTCACAGAATTAAGATCCTGAATAAGCAAAGAACCAGTGCTGTCAAAATACATCCCCCTTCCCCAGTGAACGTGTTGGGATCTGCCTGGCCCTTCAAAATTTCACCCCACATATTATAACACCTGGAAAGATGCCATCAGCATGAGCCAGCCCAAGCGATGTAGTGATCAAAGAAACAGCCTAGCTACCAAAAAGTTATTTCAAAAAAGCTAGTTCTTGCATTTTTTCCTCAAGCACTAGTAAGAGGATATGAAGAGCATGGAAATTCTTAAAGTGTATTTTCTCTTACGTTTCCTTCCTTCCTCCCCCCTCCACACTTTAACATCTCCTGCCATTGCCTCCTTAAAAAAGCACTGATAACCGATCCTTGGGCTTTCCCCGTTGATTCTGTGCCACAGAAGTACAAATAAACCAATTTGCAACCAATGTTTTCATTAGAGAATGGGAAAGGCAAGGAAATGGAGTGGCTAAAGCCAAAATCTCCTTTATGGGGCAATGGGAAAAAGAAAAGGCTGGGAACACTTAATATAGCTCTTGTCCTTGGCTACTTTGGATAATTTCCAGTAATAACCCCTGCCCCCTACTCCCATCAGTACACACAAGGCACTACTATGGCCACATACAATTATTTGCTGTTTCCTGGCCACATCCTGAACTCCACACCCATGCTGTGCCGTTTCCTGTGCCGTAATGCCTTCTGGGAAACGCACTCTTGTGTGAAGGCTTCATAATGTGCAGGTAGTTTCCTACTCTCCTATGTCCCGTAGCACTGAGTGCATCCCTCTACTAGTTCTTCTCATGCGTTTTATGAGGGTTCATATTCAGGATAAGTTTCAGGAAAATGGGCATTCAGTTTCCATAGGAATGTTAAGAAGATAGATATTGGACCCCCATCATCCAAATTATCCGTTCTTGCCACCCCAGAACATTAATACCTGAGAATGCATTTCATGAATAACAAAGGCAAGTCCATTCTCACCTTAGAAGTGGGAAACAGGCTAAGTAAATTGTTTGGCAAGGAAAAAAGTCCATCTCTGAGAGGGAGCAGGATCAGTATTGAGTAGCTCAATTGGTTAGAGCTTCCACCCAATATGCTAAGGTTGTGGTTCCATCCTGGTCTAGAGCACATACAAGCACCAGCCAATGAATGCATCAAAACATGGAACAACAAATCGATGCTCCTCTCCTTTCCCTTCTCTCTAAAAAGCAATCAAAAAATTTTTTTAAAAGGTGAAGACACTTAAGAACAGTGTCTGGCATAAAATAGTGCCTGGAATGTTTGTTGCTGCATGAATTAGTCTGCTCTATCACCTAATTCCCGCAAGGCTAGATCCAGATAGAGGGCAAGAAGATGGGGCTTGTTGAAAGTTGATGTGCCACCTCTCTCCTTCCAACAGTAAAAGAAGTGAAAAGTAGGTGGTTTCTACCATAGATTTTTAAGTTCCAGAATCACAGGATAACACTCACTTTCTCTTAGCCCAGTTTTAAGTGGGGGAGCTTTGACATTTAAATGAGTCCTGTATAAGGAAGCATCAGATCAGGTGGGTTCTGCAGTGCCCGTGTGCATTCCTGTAGCCCAGAGTCTTTAGTTGATTCTCAAAAGGCTGTGGGGTAAGTCCTGGACGAGCCCCACAGCCCACGTTTATCATGGTGGGGTTCCTACTAGTAATACGTTTGTGAGGCTTAAATGGGATAAGGAATCAAGATAGTTGTCTATGTCAGAGATTTCAGGGGCGGGCCCTTCCACCTTGGCTGCAACTTGGTAACACCGAGAGTTTTAATAAATACTGGGTCCCATCCCGTATTCTCTCTTCACTGGCCCTGGGGTGCTGCCTGGGCCCGGGAGGGGTGTGTGTGTGTGTGTGTGTGTGTGTGTGTACTCTCTCCAGGAGCAGGGGTCGCCAACCGGTGGTCCGTGAGGTCGGAAAGGTTGGCGACCGCTGACCAGGTGATTCTACGGAGCAACTGGACTGAACACCCGTTTAGAAACGGTCGCAGGAGGCGCCAGCTGATCAGGACCTCAAGTTTGCGTGGTTTTCCGTCTCCTCCTCTTCTTCGTCTCTAAGGCCTCACACCCAGAAACCAGTAACTGTCCCTTCACCGACAGCAAGGAATTTCCCCGAAAACCGATAAGACCTGCGCACACTCGTGCACACAGGAGCCTGGCCCACAGACCCGCCTGCGGTCTCCGCCCCCTCCAGCCCGCGTCCGGGTCCGGCCCGCGCGCTCCCAGCCCGCCCCTCCCGTCCGCAC